TGGTGTTCTGCAGTGTCTGGGTCACCTTCCTCCCTGTCTACCACAGTACCAAGGGGAAGTTCATGGTGGCTGTGGAGGATTTCTCCATCTTAGTCTCCAGTGCAGGGCTCCTATGCTGCATCTTTGTCCCTAAGTGTTACATTATTCTCATAAGACCTGATAAAAACTGCTTGAAATCTTGGGAACCAGCAGTTAGCGTAATGGCTATGTCGCTGGACTCCCACGTAGTCGACCGCGGTTCGTGTCCCGGACCCGGTGGCTTAAAACTCACGCTGGGCGCGTGTGTGTGTGTGCCCAAGATCCCGAGAGGAGAATGGAGGAGAAGGGATTGCGGCGTGACCATCCCCCCTGGGGGGGTGATTTCTCGCTTTCTGTCTCTATGTCTCTCTCTGTCTGTCTGGCGAGCGCACGCGCCCTAAAAAATGAAAATCTCTCCAAAAAAAAAAAAACTGCTTGAAATCTTTAAAAAGCACAAGAGGTTATAGAGGAAACAGGCCTTCTCAGATTTTATCACATAAGTCTATATCTAATTTTTAGAACTTTGAACCAAATAAAAGCACCTTGGCTCTATATTCTAATGTTACTGAGTAGTTGAAAATTATTTACCTTTTAATATTCACTTTCTTTTTTATTTATTATTATTTTTTATTATTATCATAATCTTGTTTATATTACAGTGAATCACATATAACTTTTCAGTGTATTACATGTCTTTTTTTCTATTGTTTTTTTGGAGAGGTTTTTTTTGCTATAAGGTGCGTGCGCTCGCCAGACGGACAGAGAGAGACATAGAGACAGAAAACGAGAAATCACCCCCCAGGGGGGATGTTAAAGCCGCAATCCCTTCTCCTCCATTCTTCTCCTAGGATCTTGGGCATGCATGCACACGCACCCGGCGTGAGTTATAAGCCACCGGGTCTGGGATGCGAACCATGGTCGACTATGCGGGAGTCCTGTGACATAGCCATTACACTAACTGCTGGTTCCCTACATGTCTTTTCTTCTAGATGGGATACCATGCATATCAGTCAAGACAAAGACATTAATATTCACATCATCATCAGATAGCTTTTCATCATTTTTCCCAGATTATTTATATTAATATTCTCATTATTTTTTTAAATATTTAATCAGTATTTATCATTTTGCTTGTAAACATACTTTACCCAACATGAAATACTTCTCAGATCAGTCCAGTTGAGAATACTATGTGTGTTAACATCAACAGGTAATAAACCATTTCTGTATCCCCCTGATGTAATGCCTCTTTATTTGTTCTATTACGATGCTCCATACTCTTCCCTTCTCTGGCCCTGTTCCACACTGTCTTCAGCATCACTAACTACTTTCACTGCTTTTGTTCCTTCCAATATTTCAATCTCTATCATAAAGTGCAGATAGTCTGCATATATTAAGCGGATACATACCATTCTTTCTTTCAGATCCTAGCTTGCTTCACTCAGCAATAGGTCCTCCATATCTGACCATTTTCTATCAAATGTCAGAGTCTTGTTGTTTTTTATGTCTGAAGAGTATTCCACAAAGTATACATGCCACACTTTTTCCATCCATTCATCTGTTTGTGGACATTTGAGTTGGTTCTATGTCTTAGAGATCGTGAATAATGCTGCAATAAACATTGATGTGTGAGAGCTTTTCCAACTGAACATTCTCCTTTCCTTTGGGTAGATACCAAGAAGTGGGATCGCTGGATCAAATGATAGTTCTATTTGTAGATCATTGAGGAAACTCCATATTGTTCTCCACAATGGCTGAACATGTTTATATTCCCACAAACAATGTAGGAGAGTTCCCCTTTCACCACATCCCTGCCAAAGCTTGTCACTTTTTATGTTTTTAATCTCTGCCATTCTGACAGGGGTTAGATGGTATCTCATTGTGGCTTTAATCTGCATCTCCCTTATGATGAGAATGGTTAAGCATTTCCTCATATGCTTTTTGGCTGTTCATATGTCTTCCTGAAAGAGATTTTTGTTCAGCTTATTTCCCATCTTTTAATTGGGTTAATCATTTTATTTTTCTGAGTAAGCTGCTTGAGTTCCCTGTATATTCTGGTTATCAGTCCCTTTTCTGAAGCATATTTTACAAAAATATTTTTCCATTCTAAGGGTTCTCAATTCACACTTCATACTGTGTCCTTTGCTGTGCAGAAATTTCTTAGTCAGATATAGTCCCACTTGTCCCTTTTAGAGATTATTGCCTGTGCTTTGGGAGTCTTACTTAAGAAGTCTTTGCCTACTCCAATGTCTCCCTGAGTTTCCCCAGTATTTTCCACCAGTAGTTTTATGATTTGAGGTCTTGGTTCAGATCTTTTATCCATTTTGAGTTGATTTTTGCTAATGGTGAAAGATGGGGTTCAGTTTCATCTTTCTGTAGGCATGATCTTAGGTTATCTATTTGCCATCTGTCCATCTTGTTCTTATGCACTCTAATTGTTATAAATTTCCCTCTTATAACTCCTCTTGTCATGTCCCATAGATTATGGCAACTTGTGTACTCATTATCATTTGTTTCCATAATTTTTTTTTATCTCAGACTTAATTTTTTCAGTAGTTAAGAAGTCATTCAGAAGTAGGATGTTCAGGGGGAACCAACAGTTAGCGTAATGGCTATGTCGCTGGACTCCCACGTAGTCGACCGCGGTTCGCGTCCCAAACCCGGTGGCTTAAAACACACCGGGTGTATGTGCGTGTGTGCCCAAGATTCCGAGAGGAGAATGGAGGAGAAGGGATTGCAGCGTGACCATCCCCTCTGGGGGGTGATTTCTCGCTTTCTGTCTCTATGTCTCTCTCTGTCTGTCTGGCGAGCACACGCGCCCCATAGCGAACCCCCACGGGAAAATCTCTAAAAAAAAAAAAAAAAAAAAGAGAAGGAAGATGTTCAGTTTCCATGCGTTTGTGTATTTTCAAGGGTGTCTCCTGAAATTAATATTGAGTTTAATTCCATCATGGTCAGAGAAGTTGTTGGATATAGTTTCTATGCCTTTGAATCTATAAAGGCTTGATTTGTATCCTATGATATGGTCAGTCTTAAAAAGGATTCCATGCCAGGGTTAGAAAAAATATATATTTTATGGTCTTAGGATGGAAAGTTCTGTAGATATCTATCAAGTCCATTCGATTTATAGCATCATTCAGGTCTCGTATCTCTCTATTTACTTTTTGTCTAGAAGATCTGTCTAAAGGACATAATGGGGTGCTGAGATCCCCAACAATTATAGTATTGCAAAGTATCTCTCCTTTAACTCCAGCAGTCTTTCCTTTACATATTTAGGTCCTCCTGAGTTGGGTGCATAGATATTTATAAGCATTATGTCTTCTTGCTTAATAAACGCATTTACTATTATATAATGCCCTTTTTTGTCTCTTCTTACAGTCTTTGTCTTGAGATCTATTTTGTCTGAGATCAATATCACTACTCCAGCCCTTTTTTGATTTCCATTTGCATGGAATATCTTTTTCCAGCCCTTTACTCTTACCCAATATATGTCTGTATCCATCAAGCACATTTCTTGGAGGCAACAGATAGAGCATTTCTGTTTTGTTTGTTTTTGTTTGTTTGTTTTGTTTTTTAAGCCATTTGGCCAGTCTGTGTCTCTTAATTGGAGAATTTATTCCATTAACATTCAATGTTATTATCTCTATTTCCGGACCTGTTCCTATCACTAAGTGAGACATTTCCTTGGTTGTATTTTGTTCTCTTATAACTGTCCTTCTGACTTTTTATTTTTTCTGATATGGCATTCCCTTTATAACCACTTGAAGAGCTGGTCTGGAGTTGATCAATTCTTTCAGATTTTGTTTATCTGAGAATGTTTTTATCTTTTTCCCCCATATGAAAGATAATCTTGCCAGATCTAGTATTCTTGGTTGAAATTGTTTTTCATTCAACACTGACTATATTATTTCATTCTTTTCATGCCTGCGTTGTTTCTGATGAAAGGTACACTCTTAGCCTGATGGGGCGACCTTGGTTAGCAATTGACATTTCTGTCTTGTTGATTTTAGTATCCTGTCTTTTTTCTGTTGTTTTGCCAACCTGGCTATGATGTGCCTTGGAAAGGATCTTCTTGGGTTGGTTCTATTTGGTGTCTTATGTATTTCTTGGGTCTGGATATTTCAATGCCTTTCTAGGTTTGGAAAGTTTTCTTCCAGAATTTCATGAAATAAATTATCTATGCCCTCATTATTTTCTTCCTTTTCTGAGATACCAATTATTAAGATGTTGGGGTGTTTGATGGTATCCAATATTCCTTGTATACTATCTTCATTTATCTTGGTTGTTTTCTTAATCTTCTTGATACTTTTTTTTTAATGTCAGATGTTTTGTCTTCTACATTCGAGATTCAATCTTCTGCGTGATCTAATCAATGTTTAATGCTTTAGATGGAGATTTTAACTTCCTGTATCATATTCTTTATCCCTAGAAGTTCCATCTGATTCTTTTTTAAGGTGTCTATTTCTTCTTTCAAATCATGAAAGGACTTCCTCATCTCCTGGAGCTCAAGGTCTCTTTTCTCTTGCATCTCAGTTAGTTTGGTCACTACAAATATTCTGAATTGATTATCCACCATGTCCACAACGTCCATTGTGTTGTCTGTGGGTGATATGCAATTGATTATTTCTTTTGGGGAGAGACATTTTGTTGGTTGCTCATATTTCTTGAGCCTCTGAGATTGTTATTAGTCATGTGGTGACATAGACCTTCCTTCCTAACTTATTCAAGGTACCTCTGAATGTTCAAAAGTGTGCAAAAGGAGAAAATTGGTGATCTCTCTTCTGCTCTGCCGCTATATTGTTCACCAGTACCTTGAACTGTTGTCACTCATCCTGGGTGACTCAAAGTCTTCCCTGTTTCTAAAGAGTGGTGAGCCTCCAACTGAGGTAATGAGCTTTACCTCAGGATCAAAGAAAACATCCCCCATGCATTATTAAAAACACCAAAGTTTTGAGACTCCAAAGGCAAGTGGTGGGGGATGGATGAGAGAAGGGTCCCAGCCTTTAAGGCCTGCAGCTACAGGCACCTTGGTGTCTGGCAATGCTGCTAGCTTGAATCGGTATCCAGAGGAAGTAGGGACGGCCGCAATTTTATCTAAAAGCCCAAGAAACAAACCTGAAGTTCAGAGGTGAGTAGGGTGGGGATGGGCCCCAGGTCCTGGCTGTTAGGGCCTGCAACCAGAGGCAGCCTGGTGTCCAGCAATGCCGCAGGCTTGAACAGGTTTCCAGATGGGGCAAGGAGGAGCCAATATTCACTTTCTTTTAAAACAGTACTTGCAGAAAATTAACTTTCATCTGCTTTTTTCCTTTTTTGAAGAGGTTTTTCCTATAGGGCACGTGCACTTGCCAGAAAGATAGAGACATTAAGTAAGAAATCACCATCCCCCAGGGGTGAGGGTCATGCCTCAATCCCTTCTCCTCCATTCTCATCTTGGGATGGGCATGCACGCACACACACCCTGCATGAGTTTAAGCCACTTTTTCAAGGACTCGAACCATGGTAGACTACATGGGAGTGCAGCAACATAGCCATTATGCCAACTGCTGTTCCCACCGTCCCCTGCTTTTAGCACTGCAAATATGAATGCTATTTCAGATTAATCGCTATTTCTGACACTGGGATATTAACTGTTAAATCGTATTTGTTATTCTTTACTTATTAGACATTGTGTTCTCCTACAATATTTTATTTTGTTATGGTCCGTAATAATGTCTTTATTTCCATAACTGACATATTCATTTGTATCTTCTGCTTTCTAGGATGGCCTATATAAAGTTTTATCAGTTTATTGATATCGTTAATAAAAAAACAGCTAATTGTTACATTAATGCTCTTTATGATTTTTACATCTCTTATTTATATCCATTTTAATCTTATTATCTTTGTTCCTGTTTGCTTTTAGTTTATTTTGTTCTTTTTAGTTCTGTGATGTGTTAAATAATATTGATTTGATATACTTTATGTATTTTTTAAAGAAAACCTGTGAAAGAGTTAAATGTCTTCAATGTTCTATGTTCTGCAGCATTTTCAAATGTTGGCTTGCTATATTTCCAATTTTGTTTTTCTCAAATATATTTGTTAGAAAATGTAAAGATTAAATAAAAATATGGAGTATATTTAAAGCCTTTTTTCTTAATATAGTCACATATTTTACCCTTTTTTCAATCATTAATAATAGACACCTCATTCATTCTCAGTAGCACAGGTACTAAGAACACTGCTGCACAATTCTGGAAGCCATATGGGAAGGCTTTTATTTGCATCCAGAATCTACTTCAGTTTGTAGGGTCCATGCATAATCCTGACTGGCTACAGGACTGGCAGAGAATTACAGTGAGCTAACTCAATATGATACCAATCTGTCTGTCATGAAAAAAAAAAAAGTAAAAAATTTAAAGAGCAAGTGGTACTTAACAGGTACACCATTGTAATGTATTTTTTGCATGCTCCCCCCCCCCAGAGACCTATTAATTTTTACACAATCATAAAATGTTTTTTTATTTCAATTTTTAACATTCAATCACTGTGTGTCATTACAGCACACCAAATGAACTTTCCCATTATGAATATATTGTATATTGACTCAGCCAATGTTTATAAACCATACAGTTTATAATCCACAGATCTTAATAAGAAAATTGTAAAAATTAAATGACAAGTCAAATTGCTTATAAAAAATAAAAGTTAAGAGGGCTGGCAGGTGATATGATGGTTAAGATACTGGGCACCCACATGGATGAAAGGAGTTCAAATCCCAGACTTGACAGCCTCCTTGCTTGCTCTCTCTCTGGTACAATTTTACATAGTCCTTAAAAAAAACTTTAAGGTTACATAAAAGAAAATTTAAGGTTACTCAAAAAAAAAAAGTTTTGTTGTATACTATTATATTATAAATGTATGAATTTTATTGTAAAAATATTAGAAATATAAATACATACATGATAAACATACATGCTAGAAAATTTTATCAAGAAAAGTTTCCATAAAGACTGGAAGAAGAAAGCCATGTGACAGTAAGATATACAGCGAATCAAGAATTTTTTTTTTTTGAGAAGTTTTTGCTATACGGTGCTTGCACTCGCCAGAAAGACAGAGAGAGACAGAGAGACAGAAAGCGAGAAATCACCCCCCAGGGGGGATGGCCACATCACAATCCCTTCTCCGTTCTCTCAGGATCTTGTGCACACACGCACACGCGCCCGGTGTGAGTTTAAACCACTGAGTTCGGGACTCGAACTGCAGTCAGCAACATGGAAGTCCAGCTACAAAGCCATTGTGCCAACTGCTGGTTCCAAGAAGTTTTTTATTTTAATTATCACACATTAAACCATGGAATTATGAGGACTCAGTGACTGAACGATCAAAGGACAGCACATGGGACATGAATCTAAGGAGTAAGTGGCTTAATTTTCTCGAGTTTGAGGTTCAAGGGTAATGTAATCTTCTCCATAACATGATCTCCTCTTTTGTAAATCGTAAGGCCCATTTCTCTGCAGATGGTGTTGCAGAATTAGGAATGATCTGGGGCATCGTAATGACGTTCTTCTTTACATTGCAGAGGAAGTGATCAATGATGGACATGAACCCTTCCCTTTCTTGCTAAAATAGCATATAGAATTATGCTAGTAGGTGCTTCCTTGACTTTAATATCAGGGTTTTTTCAATTGCATCAATATCACTAGGAATGTTTCTGATGCCAACTATTGGCCTCTCTTGGCATAAAATGACAGAGCTCATTGTCTCAGGATGGCATGGTCCCCAAGGCCTTGCTGGGCCATGATGAAATCCCAGAGGCCATGTGAGAAAGAAATTGTTTTTCACAAGAACACAGGGTGACAGGTGCAGAGCCCCAGGGCATGGAGAACCCCAGAGCTCCTGGATGGGACTGAATGATACAGTATAAAGAAAGGGAAGCCAGAGCATCTCAGGTCACAGTGACACTAAGGGTCAGTCTCAGCACCATGACTCCTTAGAAATGCCTTTATGGTTCTCCTATTTGTGCCCTTGCCTGTCATGCCAGTCTGCCACACACTTTGTACAGACTAAAAGCATCCAGTGACAGGGAGAGACCTCTGTGCTCTCCACAAAGCTCTCTGCAAAGTGCTGAGCTTATACACATGATCCAATTCTACAGTCTTCTCAGATCAGTACACACATAGAGCTTTGTCTCTGTGTTGGGCAGGCCCTGACATGTTATTCTTTTTTCTTTCTTGCTTTCTACTTAAGGAAAACTTACAGACTGAATGTGAACTGATACGTGAGAGCTGTAATAAATACCCGAAGCGCAGTGTCTACAGAGATGGGGACCTGGTGCTGAGTTTTTTTTTTCCTCTTTATGACTTCAGAGATGAAGAATCCACACACCAGCAACCTTTTTTGATGGAGCCAAGTAAAACCCTGACACGTGAGTAAGTCCCCCTTTTTATTTATGTAAACGCCTTTATTGCTGTGTATGAGTATAGGTTTGAGTGAGCATGTGATTAACCCCACTTGAAAATAATAAAAACTGTGCACAACAATGGCAGGGAGGCGGGAAAGTGGATTCAGGGTGTTCTGGCTTGTTTTTTTTTTTTTTTTTTTTTTGGGGTTTTTACTATAGGGCGCGTGCGCTCGCCAGACAGACAGAGAGAGACAGAGAGACAGAAAGCAAGAAATCATCCCCCAGGGGGGATGGCCACACCACAATCCCTTCTCCTCCATTCTCCTCTCGGGATTTTGGGCACGCACGCACACGCACCCGGCGTGAGTTTAAGCCACCGGGTCCGGGACTCGAACCGTGGTCGACTACGTGGGAGTCCAGCGACATAGCCATTACGCTAACTGCTGGTACATGCCTTGTTATTCTTTTATTAGCCTTCTTTTTCCCTTTTTAAATCTCTCCCAACCCATTTCCAAAGAGGAGATAAATTGATCTAGTCTGTTGTCCGCTGCATCAGCACTATCCACATGGTCAGTCATTAGGAGGCTCAGAATGAGTGAAAATGTTGGCACCTCAGTCCCTTTTATAGCCAAGGAGTATATACGTGACGTTCACATGCATACTGAGGCACTGACTGCCTGATGTGAATTTGGTGTTAGCATCAAGGGGCTAGCACTAGGTGCTCACTGCCTATACAGGGGCATTGTAGAAATGTGCCTTTCAGAGAAGCCATGAATGCTGGAATGGCTATAGTATATGGTCCATGTCCCAAAAAAAGTCACTCATTCAATCCCGTCAGGAATTTAGGATTCTGATCCCAAGAGCTTAACGATAACATGTATGATTAAGCCACTATGCCGTGTATTTTGGATGGGAGATCACATTTTGTATGCTGTGACAATGCTCAGGGAATGAATGCAAATGAACTAATTAATTACAAATGTTTCAGAAGAAAATTACAGTGCACTTGTAACTAGATTCTAGCTTTGTTTTAGCTTAAGGTATTTTGTAAATCAATAAAATATGAAAAACTTTTAGTAATAATAATGAAATTAAACTAAAAAATAGTTAAAGATCCTTTTTCAAAAGGAAATATTGCTCTTCTCTTCCACTATGATTTTTTTTAAATCTGCCTTTGTGTGCACTCACCAGAGAAAGACAAAGAAAGAGGGGAACAGAACCCCTCAATGGGTATAGTCATGCTGTAATCCCTTCTTTTTTTTTTTTCCTTTTTTTTTGGAGAGGTTTTTGCTATAGGGCACGTGTGCTCACCAGACAGACAGAGAAAGACAGAGAGATTCAAAGCGAGAAATCACCCTCCACGGGGGATGGCCACACTGCAATCCCTTCTCCTCCATTCTCCTCTCAGGATCTTGGGCACGCACGCACACGTGCCTGGCATGAGTTTAAGCCACCGGGTCCCGGACGTGAACCGCGGTCGACCACGTGAGAGTCCAGCGACATAGCCATTACACTAACTGCTGGTCCCATGTAATCCCTTCTTTATGTCTTCATCTTTCATCTATCAGGTTTGGGGCATGCACACGCACATGCCCAAGCATGTTATTCTTTCTATTTTTTTATAGCATTGTATTTATTCATTTTCTTATGTTTTTATATTAACAACCTTGTTTTTCAAGCTATTCTGGCTGGAATTCAAACTGTGTGACTGGTTATGTGGGATATGGTTCCTTTAACCACCACAGCACAGAATCAGCTCTGACCCTGATTTGTCACTTCTCCAGGAAAAATGCAAAAGTTGCATTAAATCTTGGCTTTTTGCAACCCTGTAACATGCATACATAAAAACTAAGTTACTGTAGTTTTACTTAATGAGAAGGTTTGCCAGCACACGGCCTGTGTTCTCTGCATCCTTTTTGTTTGCAACAGCAGAATGTGCTTCTAAAACATTCACTCCATCAACATGCATGCGGGCCCAGAGTAGGGTCAGACAAAATGTAAGTTTCTTACAAGGGTCTCTCTATCCTTAACAATTTTGTCTGGGGTTGTTTAAAACTTGTGACCTTGTACTGGAGAAAGGTGATATTGGGATTTCTGATCTTTGGGTGGAATTTGAGAATTGTCTTGTGTATAAGAAAGAACAAAACATTTTACTTTGAACATTGTCCAACGTATCTATTTTTCCCATTTATGGATTATACTTCAGTATCGCTGAAAAACATTGATTGACCCAAAGTCCTTAAAATATTTATTCCTGTATTTATTTATCTAAATTGTTTGTGGCTTTTGCTATTGAATTTATGTTTATTATCAACTTTAAGTTTATTTTTTACATGATGTTATGTATAGATTCTTAAATTGTTATTTTGCAAGTATCTATCTTTGTCAGCATCATTTACTGAAAAAAACTATTCTATCTCCCTGTGGAATTGTCTTTGTAGATTGAACTTTGAACATCCTAAATTTATATATTCTAAACTAACATGAGAAGTAAAAGGGACATATATCAGAAGTAGAGATCTAATTAGTTATCTTAAATCATGAGTGAATCTTTCTGTTGGAGATATCTGTCCTAAAATAAATTTTCTGTGACCAACTTTGACCATTTCTGTGTATTATATTATTTTCCAGCCTATTTTAAATATACTGTTACTTTTCTGCCCTTTTATTCTGATTTTTCTTTTATTTGATTCTAATAATTGCCTCATTTTATTCTCTCTTGTGCACATCCTTTTTGTATTAAGTTAAAAGCAAAACTCATTTGATTACACCATTTTGGTTGTTAATTTATTGGACTATAATAATTTATGAAGAATGACTTACTGACAGTTTAATGTGCCCTGTTTAAATTTTATACACACACATACATACACACACACACACACACACACACACCACAGAGGGCACATTCGCTTGCCGCAGACAAACAGAGCGAGAGGGAGAAAGCAGCCCTCAATGGGATATGGTCATGCCACAATTTCTTCTCTAACATTACACAATTTTACTTGGACTTTGGGCAAACACACACATATGCCTGGTGCGTTTTTTAAGCTGCAAGGGTAAAGATGCAAACCACTCAGTTGGCCATGTGAGATCTAGTTCCCTTATTCACCAGGCTAAGAGGCTGGCTGTCTTATATTCTGAGTATTTATAATATTAATACTGGAGATTATGTATATGTGCCAAAAAGAGACAGACTGATTAAGTATCCTCCAATGGAGCTTCATCTTACATACCATTATTTTCTTTCCTCCATCTCTATTTTTGTAAGGATCCTGGTAACATGCACACATGTGCCCAAAATGTTTTTCAAGCTGTGGGGTGAGGATTTGACCATAGTAAGATCTAGGCTTGGACTTATAGGTATCAACAGCAAACATTTCCCAAGGTACACCAGAAGTGTGACTGCTTAAGAACACCTCAGACTGATATTTGTGACCGGTCAATAGGTAGTATGAAATAACACTGTGTTAGTTTTACAAGTATTAGTTGATACACATTTGGTTATGTAAGGGCTGGCCCCTTAGTGGTTAAGGGACCACATTCTACATGGCTGATGGCAGTTCAAATCCTGATCCCAGCAGCTTTAAAAACATACTAAGTATTATGCATGTGTGCAAAAAACTGTCAGTCAACTTAACGCTAAAATTGTTATGAGAACTCCAGTTATGAATTAAAATTTCTCTGTATAAGGGAAGATAACCAATAAATAAAAATGTTTAAGGAAAAAATTAAGTCGCCATTCTTTGTTTATTCAAATCAAAGCAAAGAAAATTAGGCTTTGGGCAATTAACAGTAGCATGATTAGTATACTGAATTCATTTAGATAATACTAAATCAATTCTCTATATGGGAAAAAACAGCTATCAAGTGTTTAAGGAAATGTGACAGAACATTACTCTTTTTTTATGCAAAAAAATATTTTTTTAACTTTAAAATCAGAGATATATAAAGAAAATGATTCCATGATACATTTAAAATCACAATAAAGGTCAAATTAGAGAATAATAATGAATAAAGTAAAATAAAATAATTAGTTTTAAAAACAAGGAATTTTTAAAATTATTTATTTAACTTTATCACTTATTATATTTAGTTTGCGATAGGGCATTTGAGCTCACCAGGGAAAGATGAAAGAGAGAGAGAGAGAAAGAGACAGAGAGAGAGAGAGAATTTAAGAAAGCAAGCCATCAGACGAGAGTTCTGCCATGTGGGAATCCAACACCTTAACCACGTACCATCTGAAGACCCCAAACCAAGGGATGTTTAAGTGTAAAATGAGAAATTATAAATAAGAATTAATTTCAGATAATGTTTTTGAAATAATTTGAGTTAAGAAACTTGCTATAGTCGATATATAGGTAGGAGATTTGAGAAAATGATAGTTTTTAAAGGGAAACTTATTTTTAACAATATTCTTCATAAAAGTTGACATAATAAGTGGATTGAAAACTATAGAAAGGTCACCTTAAAGTTCCTGCAATAAATATGTTATGGAGGATAATTGCCACAAAGTATAGAAAACTCACAAGTTCGGTGCTAAAGTTTTTTCTTTTTTTTTTTTTTTTGAGAGGTTTTTTGCTATAGGGCACGTGCGCTCGCCAGACAGACAGAGAGAGACATAGAGACAGAAAGCGAGAAATCACCCCCCAGGGGGGATGGTCACGCCACAGTCCCTTCTCCTCCATTCTCCTCTCGGGATCTTGGGCATGCACGCACACGCGCCCGGTGTGAGTTTTAAGCCACCGGGTCCAGGACACGAACTGTGGTCGACTACGTGGGAGTCTAGCGACATAGCCATTACGCTAACTGCTGGTTCCTGGTGCTAGTTAAAGTTTACAGAGCATAGACGAAATAAGCAATGCTTATATCATTGGTTTCTGCACATCAAGAGAAATAAGATGACATATTGGATGCACCTAATTGTAGGAGAGTTTATGAAGTTGAGTATAAAAATGAGGAATGAAGATGAATATAATAATGATGAATATAGCTCATAATTGTGCATTTTAATATTAATAATGAAGT